GTTCAGCTCTGTCTCAGTTTCTCTATTCCGCGTGCCAAGGAATTTTCCTAGCTTCTTACTATTCTGCCTCACTAGCTCCTAGAACAGTGCTTGGTACATAGAAGGTGTGCAGTAAATATCTAGACAAATATCTGGATAAGAACAGTCTCAATAACTGTTGGCAATTATTATTTCATCTATGATATAAAAGTTTCTAATTCTTACTCCAACCATTTCCGTTTCCCAACTACGAGTTTTCATTTTGGGAATCATAGCATTTTTCTACAGTGGCACAAGGTGGCAGCATCAGTCTCCTTTTGGGTTATCAGCCCTGCTCTACTTTGATGCGGCCCAGAGACAAATGCTGCAACATCTCCATAGGCAAACCCATCCATTCTGGATTGTTTTTTACATGAACAGGATTAACTGTTTGAATTATTGTAAGGTTATCTCTTAACTGCCCCAATTTCTAGCTAAAGAAAAGCTTGTAGAAAAGTAAAATATTTGCATGGATTGAGGCTGTTCTACTCTAACACTACTGTTTTGTGTTCTTAAAGGTCCCCTTTGGTAACAAATAACTGCTTGGCAAATAATGAATCCAAATCTTCTCTTTCAGTGACACAAGATGCAACAATGTTGTTTCCTTCTAAGTCTATAAGAAAAGACAAAATGAAATAAAACTTTTCCTCTGTTTCTAGGCTAATTCTGTAGTCCCTCTAAATTACTCTGTGCAATCACTGTTGAGAAGCAGGAATTTCTGAGCACTTTTGAGGGTGAGACCAACCTTGTGGTGCAAAGAAAAGAATCCTGGTTTAGAAACAGAGAACTGGAATTCCAGTGGTGCTTTAGAAATCGCCTTACCTCCAACTTTAAACACATCTCTTATCTTTTCAACATTCAGTATCTTTATTTCAAAACCATGGACAATAATCTCTGCCTTACCTATTTGAAATAAATTCAGTAAATGTGAATACCTTTATAATCTGTAAAGGGCTCCAGTTTATACTGAGTGAACCAATGCAAGATTCATTTCCCTTTTATCTCTGGGGAAAACCAGTTCTAGCCAGTTACATGGGCTTGCCTCAGTGTTCTCATCTATAAAAAAGGCTAATGATATCAACCCCACTTACTTCAGTGAGTTGTAAGGATAAAATAAGATAGTAGAGGTGAAAGCACTTTTAAAATGGAAGTGCTCCCACTTGCACAAGATATTAGTTTAAGCAAATGGCTCTTCTAGAGTTTCAGAAACAATGCGAGAGAAAACAGTATGTAACTAAGTTGTCTAAAAAACAAAGCAAGTTTGATTTACTACCTTCAGAAATCGCAGATTGCACATTTAAAAGAAGATGGAAATAGAGACGCTGAAGGTGTTACTGCATTTAGTGAAGGATGAACAAAATTAAATGGCTAGAGTTATGCGGGTTATACAGAGTTAGTTTGATAAACACTTTTTGAAAATCTGTACTTAAATTAGGTGCATTGTGCACTTCTGCAGCACATATACCAAATTAGGTGTATTGGGAAATAAAGTGTTCATTCAAAATACTAACATTCAACAAACAGTTGTCAACTGCTTGTTGTGTACCACTGTTTTCAAATGTATTATTTCATTTTTAATGTTATATTTCCGAGAACCAGAGAAAAAAATGCCAGCCCCAGTTAAGAGTCAAGGAAACTGAGATTCAGAGAAGTTGCTCAGCTTGCCTCCAAAAAGCAGATCTAAGATAGTCAGACCTGTGGATGCCTCTATTCAGTCCTGTGGGAGCACTCAGGATAGAGTCCAACAATAGTAGCAAGTCAGCAATTTTTGTTTAGTAAAAGCCAGAGATGGGCCCTGTCTGGTGTGGTTCAGTCAGTTGAAGCTCTGTCTGATGATGGAAAGGTTGCAGTTTAGATTCCCAGTCAGGGCACTTGTCTAGGTTGCAGGTTTGATACCCATTCTGAGAGATAATCTCAGGTCTGCGTGTATAGGAGGCAACTGATCAATGTGTCTTTCTCTTCCTTCCTCTCTCTCTAAAAGCAATGGGGGAAAAACAAACAAACAAAAAACAAAGGTGGAATGTAAATGTAAAAGCAGAGGTTTTAAAGAACCTGGATAAATGGGTACTTAGTAGCTCAAACTCATCTGTCTGCTTAAGTGAATTTCAATGGCTCAGGAAATTTAGGCCCTGACCTTTGGACTATACACCTTTATGTAAGAGGGACACAGTTCTCTCTCTCTTAAATATTTCCAGAGCCAATTTATGCTTTTTTGAAAACTTTTAAAAAATGATTAATTATTGAATGTTAGGGGTTAAAAAGAGAGAAATAAAATTATGAGGTAACAGAGATCTTAGAAATGAAAACCACTTATATCTCTTGGGATGTATCAGTTATTTAAGAATGATGTGCTGTTGTTGCCACACATAATAAGTTAATCCTAAGGCATTTATCCCTGCTGATGCTATAGTTTTTATACAGACTAGTTTACTCGTCTGGATGCCATTTTAAGTGTGAATTTTGGTAAGCTATGTTTACCAGGAATTTTAATTACTTAATTACTTCAAAATGACACTATTCTAAAATATCAAGTCTGTTCTGTGGCATTTTACTTGCTAATTAGATTGTTCAATTTTAGGGTTTAAAGCAAAGTAGCCCTCACATTTATGTATCTGGTAGGCTGCTTTATTTCCTATTATCTAAAGAATGATATTGACACTGTATTTATGACTTGTTCAAATCACTTTTAATGAGTCTCTGTAGTTTCCTGTTCTCTTAAAGAGTTATCGAAATATACTTGCTTGCATACGACTACATGAATCAATTAACACTATGATATTTTTGTTATGAAAAAATTATAGTCCACAGACCCTTGTAAATGGAAATATAAAACCTTCATTTAAACATTCATTGATTTTCCCTTTCATTCACCCCTAGAATAACTGATTTTTATCCTTCTTAGTCATTAGTTTAGTCCATAGAACCTTAAAGCAAAATGAGTTCCTAGGATTCAGTCTAGTGCTGGCTAAAATTATTAATCTTACCCTGTAATTTTAAAGAGACCAACAATGATTATTGAGTTACAATAGCATTTAATTACAGTAAAGTCTGGCTTTTAAAAATGTTTATTCTTAAATTAATAAAAGTCATTTCAAAGATACAAATAAGGGAGGTAACTAAAATTCAGACAGTAGAACAGAGCACTTGCTATACAGTGGAATATAAATGACCTGCTGAGTGGCACAGGTGCCCAAGGACCTTTTGAGCTCCAAGAAGGAAAAGATCAGAGTGGAGTGTAGCTTCAGGAAGGCTAGCACTTTTAGGCTGAAATTCCAAAGATAAGTTTGGTGACTTAGAACTTGAGGATGATTATAATTGCAAAGAGGGTTGGATAGGCAAGGGAGAGATACTGGAATCCCTGAATTCCTTTTACAATGTCAATAAAGGTGAAATCAGCCTTGTATTGTTTCTGCTATTTTAACATTTCAGGAGAAGGTATTTCTCTTGACATCTATCTAAGGAATCTGCTCTGTTGGTCATCCTGGTTTTTACTTGCTGGTAATTTATTATTATTAATTACTTTTTCTTTTTCTTTTTCTTTTTTTTTTGCTGTGTCCTAGCTTCAGCACTGTCTTGGAGATTCATTTACTCTTGCTTCTACTTACAGTCTGGACTTGAGATTAATTCAGCGGCCACTAAGTCGTGTGCCAGGTACTGGGGAGATGCTGTAAAGCTGATAATTTATAGAGTGGACTAGTGTTTGCTAACTAAAACACCTAATCATACTGTGATATGTGCTACCAGAGTGTTATAAACCAAGTGTCAAAGGGGAAGTTAATTCTGTCCAGGAGTCAAGAAAGGGCTCAGAAAGAAGATGACACTTCAGAGGACCCTCAAGGGAGAGAACCATTTTGGGAGCTAGAGAAGGGACGGATGTGTATATAGGCAAAGGGAGCAGGAGGGCAATGGGGAGCGTGAAAAGACTGTTTGAGAAAGGGGAAGTGATGGTGACTGGATATGGGGTTAAAAAGCTACAGGATGCCTAAAAAGAGACATCTGGAAGAAACGTTCCCTTATGTTCACTGTGCTTAGCTCCCTCCTAGGCACTACAGAAATCATAAGGGAAAGCCCTTGCCCTGGGAGTGTTTATCTGGAAGAAATATTAAGTGATCAAGTGATCAAAATTATTTATAATAATTTTAAAATAATACGACAGTCTAAGGCAAAGCATTAGATTTCCCTAAAACTCAAGCTAAAGATGATACCTCCGGTGAGCACTTCTGCTGACCTGGGCTTTCCCCCCAACACACTTCCATTGTGGCGCAGGCAGGTTGAGGACGCTGAACTAGCACAGGGCCTTCAGGGCTTGAGACTCCTTCACTTCAGAGGCAGGGGTGAATCTCATGAAACCCACACACAGCTCTTCCCGTGTATCTGGCGCTTTTCTAGGTGATTAACTGATTAATTCTCCACAATTACTTTATTTGGGAGAAAGAGTATTATCTCCAATTTACACGTGGGGACTGCAATTCTGTTTTGTTTTCATGCTATCCTCAGAATCTAGCACGGTGTAAGTGCTGGGTATTAAGATCTCAAAAAAAAAAAACCCAACAACCCCAAACACACACACACACACACACACACACACACACACACACACACACACACCCACCCAAACCCCCCCACACACACCCCCAAACCTCCCCCCCCGCCCCGCCCCGCGCGACAGTTTTCCTTGAGTATTTTCAAGATAATGCGATTCAAATCAAAATAAAGACCGGGAAAACAGACTTGAAAACCTCAAATTTGAGAGGAGAAATGCATGTTAGCTGTACAGCCTTAAATTGCTGGCCCAAGGCCAGCAAGAATTTTTTTTTTTTTTTCATTTATATATATTTTTCGTTTTGTGACAATCTGATGTTTCTGGACGCTAGGGGCTCTCTGATTCTCTGGCTTGAGAACTTTCCTCTTACATTTTTTTTTTAAGGGGGTGGGGGAAAATGTGGCCTTAATTATGCTACGTCTTAGGCAGCTTAAGGAAGGGGCTGTGCTTTCTGAATCCCTTCAGAGCCAAGTGAGGAGGTCCCTCTCGATCCCTCTCTCTTTAAAGGACCTCGTGAAATAAAAGTGTAGAGAACAAATCCAAGGCGATCACAACAGCAGCCGCAGCGGCAGCAGCAGCAGCAGCAATAGGAGGAGGAAAATTTGGAGTTGGGGCCGGCGCTCCGGAGTGGCTGGGCTCTGCGCAGCTCCCATTCATTAAGTCACCAGCTGCGGGGGAAGGTGGCGGAGCGCCCGCGCTGCCCACTAGCTCGCTCGCGCTCGCAGGCTCACGCTAACCCAGCGCCTCTCGGGCAGCGCAGCTCTGCAAAAGTTTCAGCTCGGGATTTGGCTCTCTTCCCCTTGGACTTTCGAACGATTTGGGGTTGAGAGAGGAAAGAAAACAGAGGCACCCAAAGGGAGCAGAGAACACCACCGTCTGCGTTGGAAGCAGGCAGAGAAGCCGCCCTCTCGCCTCCGAGCCCCACACCGGGGCCGACTCGCCACTCTCCCGAGCAGCCTCGGCCAGGAAGCGACCCCGGCGCCCGGGTGTGGGGTGTGTGGCTGCTGTTGCGGGGCGTCTTCGAGGGGCGGGAGGCTCGCGCCGCAGCCAGCGCCATGCAAAACTACAAGTACGACAAGGCTATCGTCCCGGAGAGCAAGAACGGCGGCAGCCCTTCGCTCAACAACAACCCGAGGAAGGGCGGCAGCAAGCGGGCGCTGCTCATCTGCCTCGACCTCTTTTGCCTCTTTATGGGTGAGCCCAGCCCCGCGGTCCTTTGGCCCCTCGGCCCCTCGGCTCTCGGCGCGGGTCCCAGCCCGGCGGGTTGCCTGCGCGCGGGGCACGGCACTTCCTCGCTGGCGCGGGGCCGCCAGCCGCCCGCGTCTCCGGGCACTGCCGCGCTGTCAGCCCCGGGAGGCCCCCGCAGCCTTCTCGGGGAGACTTCGCTCCTCTTCTGGCCCCCTGGCCCGTGCCCTCCCCGATCCCACCGACTTCCCGGCCTGCACATGAATGTTTGGGCGTGCTTAGGCTTTCGCGGGCAACTGTAAACCTACTCTTTAAAAGCCGTCTCCACTTGGAAACCCAGGTGGAATCCCACGGGATATGTGGGTTCATCCTTTTAGTTAGGGGTAGTTGGCTGAACCGTGAATCGAGAGCCAGCGCATAGCTTGTTCCCCTCCATCCAAGTAAAATGGATCTGCTGGAGCGCCGGGCTCCTGCCTAGAGCCGAGCTGCCTTCCCCTGACTGTATGTAAACATCCAACCCCTTCCGCCGCTGCTGCCCTGGCAGGGCCAGACCTGAAAGCTGCCCTTTCCACTCCTCTTCTCAACGCCTCCCAGGGGTTTGGAAGGTGCTCTCTAGGGGACCGATGCATGGTATCCATTTTGCAGTCAATTCTTAGGCGCCTACTGTGTGCCAGGTGGTAATTTTAACTCTCTCTCTCCCCCTTACTGGTGCAGTTCCGGTGAAGAGCCCCATTTCACCGATGGGGGAAACTGAGGCACTGGGAATGCAAGTCACTTTCAAGTTTGGGGACCACAATTAATGCACCTCAGAAAGTTGAGACGATAGTCCGCTTCTGTTTATCGAACTAGTTGGAAGGGCTGTGGGAGTGAAAGGAGTTGGAGTCGTAGAGTGAGGATTTATGAATTCGGCGCAGGGAGGGAAAAGCTATTGACACGAATCTACAGGAGTTCCAAGGTTGAAGTCAGCGTGGTTTTTCTTTCTTTTAAAGAGCGTCGTGGTGTAATGGAAAGAGCACAGGACTTGTCATCAAAACACTGCCACTCTGCCACTTGTTGGGTGTGCCACCTAACTGCCTCATTGGCCTCAGTTTCCTCATCAGTTGAGTGGGTGGGTTGATTAGATGCTATCCAAGGCCCCTTCCTGCATTAAGAACTCGGATTTGGTCCAGGAGCTGTTCTGCCAACTCTGCTAACTGAGAAACATCTGTGTTCCCTATTCAGTTCCCTTAAAATAGAACTCCTGCACTGAGACTTAAAGTCCCCTTTGAAATGGATTTGTCCAGGCAGATTGTGTAAACTAGAGATCTCTTGGGCTGGACTTACACTACCTCTGTTTATGACTTTCTGTAGCAAGGTCCTTTGGCTTGCCGGTCCGTAGTAAATTTTGAGAGTCAAAGAAAGGTGGAACTCTTAAGAATTTAAAAATTGTGTTCTGTGCAAGGGAAGAAAGGTGACTGCAAATCCCATTCCCACCTCTTCTGGGAAATTCAATATTAAGATGCTATGTAAAGGAATTGTCACTGGGGGGCCTGCCTTCCTGAAAGTGCCTGGCTTACTATCATGCACAGTGGGAAGATTAGTACTTTCTTTGCCAAACTGTTGAATTTTTAAAAGACCCTCCCTGGTTCTGGGGAGAATCAGGAAATGCTAAACATATTGAATCTGTTCACTGTAAACTTGCCTGGAGCTTCCAGTGTTTACTGGCATGTTGGGTTGGTGGTAGGGTGAGTGAGCTCCTTCTTGCCAGAGGGTGCAGCGTACCTCCTACTAACCTACTTTGTGATTAGGAAAGCCCAGTTGGAATATGCTTGACACCCTTTGTAACCCTATTGCTCTCCTCCAGTCCCAAGAGATGGTGTATTATCATTAAAAGAGAAAGACTGAAGGAATTTGCAAAAAGACACACCTATCAGCTATGTTGTAGGCAGAGACACAGAAACCCCAGGCTGCTCTGTTGTGCATGGAAACTGTAGGGAAGGTGTATGTTTCATCTGCTCCCTGCCCGCACCCCCATCGCCCAAAGCTGATATTCTTAACCTGGTTGTTTATTATGTTTACCCAGTGTTGGCCTGTTTGAATAAGTAATTTTGTTTACCTCCAAAAAGTGATGATAACAGACCCTTGTATTTTATTACAAGGCAAAACATAGCTATCCGTTTAATGTATGTGCCTTGCCATTAAAGCCATGACAACTAAGTCATTTTCAAAGTGACTTATTATCAGTGTCTCCCCTATGTGTAGGCCTAGTTACAATACCACTAATTTAATACCTCGAATAACTTTAGTGGGAAAATCTGTAAGGTAAATATTTACTTGAGAAATTTATGCAAGAGAACTCAATTTGGCTTCCAAAAGAAAATTAATAACACAACATGTGATTTTAATATTCCGCACACCAAAGTCCTAAAAAAAATTGTTTCTACTTGCTTTACTTTTTGCCTAAGACTGTCAGTATGGTTTAATTTTTATATAGTTTATTGATCATATGGTCTGGATTACAGGGCACTAATATATTAAAAAGAGAGAAATAGTTTTCTGTTTGTTCTCTCACAGGAATATATACCAAGCTTCATCTTCTTGTATCTGGAAAAAATAAAAGCCCATGTGCTATGCAAGTGGAAATATGCAAGCAGTTTAACTTGTTCCACATACCTTTATAGAATGTTAAATTCTTGGTGAAAAAACAAAAGTCCACTCGTTTGTAGGCCAAAAGAATCTGGTTGTCAGAGAACACTAATAGGAGTTTACCTCCCAGTGAACAGCTATCTTTGCCTTCACCACTAATTGTTTTTATAAATACAGATATGAATTTTTCCACAGTAGTTATTCTGAAGTGGATTTTGTTTTCCTTGCAATTAAGTAATATATACACCTTCTGTTTTCCGTGCATTGGTTCTGGTGTATGAGGTTACATGAGAGCAGCAGAGAATATTCTCAGGCAAGAAGGGAGGTGCATCTACTATTGTTACCTTATTTTTAATATAAATTAGTTTATGTACTCTTCACTGAAACCCTCATGAAGAGATTATCTCTGTTTTATAGATGAGAAAACCAAGTATCAGAGAAAGGAAGGACTTAGATACAAGGTGAGGTTGGTTTGGGTGGATATCTAATTCTCAGTGAGCATGACTGGAGTCTGTCCCCCTTTCCGTTCCTCTCTCAAGAATCCTGAAACTCAGATTCTCATCAGAAAATCCTGAAACTCAGTTTGCAGAAAATCCTGCCTTTCCACATTTCTTCCTAGTTACCCATTTGCACCTAAGCAGATGGATAAAGGCTATTTAACTCTTCCGGTCAGTGGTATGGCCTTGTTTTGATTTGGGGCAAGTTCTACTAAGTAATTCCCAGATTTTGAGGCACTTTTCCCGCGATGAGATAGTGGTTCCAAAGAAAGAACACAACACAGGACATGGCTGTAGCACAATGCAGAGATTTGGTAAATCCATGTTGAATTTCTATTTCTGTGCCTTGCCTTTCCTCTTCCCTATCCCCCCCCTAGATATGTACTGAGAGCCTTCTTCCAACCCATACACTTTGTTGGGTTGACACTTTTAAACAGGTCCAGCTTTTTGTCCTGTCGTCCTTGTTCAAGGCCCTTCATCCTCTGTGTTCAGTTAGCTCATTTGCAAAATGGGGATCAGAATGGCCACTAACTATGTTGCTGTGAGGATCAGAAGAAATGTTGTGTATAAAACTTATTTTGTCATCTCTCAAAACTTGAACAAATATAAGGGATTAATAATCTGGAGCCCTGAGTGAAGGTTTTGTGGTTGTCTTCATATTTTGTGTCTTACTGGTAGATGAGATTGTGAAATAAATAATCAGTTATGATGTTATAATGAAGACCACAAACTATTATTCACTTCATATAGCAGAAAGACACGCTTGTCCAGTAAGTTGAGGACACATGATTTCCATTCATTATTGATCTAAACTTGAGCAGAATTCTTGAGCCCTAGATTACCATCTAATCCTTTTTAGAGAAAGTTCTTTTGTTCAGAAAGACTGTTCTTCATTTGTCTTTGATACCAGAAGGTAGGTTAGCTGAGCATAGGGATGGGAGATGTTTAAGGAATCAGGTGGTGGTCAGGTTAGTCTGGGGGTCATGACTCCTGTCCATTCCCCACCAGAAAACAAAGTCACTGGAAGGAGTGTCATGAGGCAAGGGAAAAGAGGTTCTAACAAGTAGAAATGTTGAATTTGGATAGTCAGCCACCCTGCAATATAATTTATTTGTTCTAACATGTTTCTGGACATTTCTCAATTTGCAGTTAAATGGTTAAGATTTAATTCTAGCACTGGTTCCATATGTGGGATACATAAAATCATCATCTGTTATTAAACTATTCATTTTTAATAGTGAAAGGGCAGCAGTGTTGTGCAATGAAGAGAACGGGTGATTTGGAAACTTCAGATTCCCGGCCATCCAACGCTACCATCTGGTTGTGTGGTTGTGCATAAGTAAGCTTTCTGTGGATCTCAGTTTTGTTGATTTGTTTTTTCCCGTTGGTAACGTGGCTGGTTGGGCGAGATCATGTCTCATGTCTAATGCTGCCATGCAACATTCTGTGACCGATTTCAAGAAAAGAGGAATGACATTCACATATGTTGACTGTCTACCTCATGCACACCGTCTGTTTAGCTCTTCATTGTACATTAGCTCACTGAGTCCTCACAACAATGAAGAGCGTACAGAAATGAGTTCTGGTCTTGTACTACCACTTTGGGGAAATTCACTTGACTTTTCTAGGCCTTTGTTTCTTTACCATTGCAACAAAAGGAAGGGACTCTCATTTCTCAGACCCCTTCTAGCTCTAACAATTTCACTGGTCTGTGCTGGTAGGTATTGTGATGTAGAAACTCCGTAGTGACTTTTCTTGTAACAATTTGTGACTTGTTTTACCTAAGAACTGGTGCTGACAATTTGCTTACATTGGTGATCATTCTGGAGAGATAGCAAGCACTTTTACTGGAGTTAACCAAATATGCTGAGAAACTGGTTAGATTTT